CTTCAGTCTGTGTGCATTTAATTTATTTAATACACGAGTTTCACAATTTGAGTTGAATTACTGAAATAAATGAACTTTTCCACGACATTCTAATTTATTGAGATGCACCTGTATATATGTATTTTTTTTTTTTTACAATTTTTAATTATTAATAAAAATGTCATAAATGGATCTTCCGCTGAAATGGCAGACTTCTCTCTGGTGACATGTCGACTGCATTCAGATCTGCCTCCATCCAATCAACAACTGATGGATAGAACCCGTCCCCATCCTACTTTTTTTCTTTTCCAATAATCTGTTTCACTCAGATGTATGTCACAATATGGAAGAAAGGACCCTCTCATTTTATGTTTCAGTGTAGTGACGTATTTCCAGCTGAAACGGAATATTGAATAGAGGGCGTGGTTTTATATTTGCGCTCCTCCTCTCTGTCTCTCACTCATAGCAATCTAATGGTTGGAGGGGTGTGTTTAAGGATATTCTGCCCAAGCCGTCAAACTGACGTCATCAGAAAAGGAATGCCATTCCAGAGTGAAAGTAAATGTTCAGATTTTGATTAAAGATTACGAAGACAAACAATTTTTTTCAGCGGATTAACTTGCACGGATTAATTGTTCACATCATTACTAGCAATGTGCGCTAGTAAAATAAATAAAGTCCATTTTGATTTCATGCGGACTTTAAAGGTGCAATCAGTATTTTATGTTGTGCTCATATGATACTCGGCTGATACTGACACCTAGTGGTGTGGATGGGGCATCACAGAAAAGGGAGAGAAAAAGTTGACCGTTACCATTGTAGAAATGTAGTAAACAACGTCTCCAATAATGTAAAACAGCTTTTATTAGGCCACCTTTAATAAAACAGCCTTGTTCTTACAAAATCTTCCTACAGTATCTCACTCTTCTTTTGCTGCAGGTGAACTACTCTCAGCCTTTAGTGGCCATTAAGTTCCTCAACATCACCATGAATGAGGACGTCAACGTGGAGTGCAGAATCAACGCTAACAACATTCCAGAGGGCAGTGAACGAGACAAGTTTGCGGGACGCATTTCCTTCAAACTGAGGATCAACTCCAGAGATTAAATAGGCGAATGTGTGTTCCTTTCTTTTACACACAGACACAGACACACACAGGTCCTCCACATCTAAAAGCGTGCATGATTATGCGCAGAAGGCACAGCTAGAGACACAAGCCAGACACAGCAATCCTCAGCACAGACAGAGCATAGAGTAATACTTCAACATTTCAAAGAAATATGTTTTTTTTTATTTCATTTGAGACTTTAGTGAGGTTGTAGAGAGTTAGCAAGGTTGTTTTTGTGTGTATTTATGTGTGTACATCAGTGTGTGTGTTAGCATGTATGAGTTGAGATACAGTATTTATTTTCTGAAATTTTAATTGAATGCTCAGCTATCAGAGCAATTCAGAGCAAATAATATATTCTATTAAAACAATATTAGGAAAGGAATATACTTTTTTTTTTTTGAAAGAAAAATTCAGTATCTAATAACTATGCTGTTTTCTTCCCTCAGTATCATTAATTAATTTAAGTAGGTGTCTATGAATTAATGTGGCATGATCTCGTGTGTTTGAAGCATCTCTTGACTGCTAGGAATTTATATATAT